AGGCAGAGGCAGGCGGATCTCTGTGAGTTCGAGGCCAGCCTGGTCTCCAAAGCGAGTTCCAGGAAAGGCGCAAAGCTACACAGAGAAACCCTGTCTCAGAAAAACCAAAAAAAAAGAAAAAGGAAAGGGGGGAAATTCGGGCAGTGAGGGAGAAGCCACGGGGGAGAAAGCTCAACTGGGAACTGCTGGCTTCTTCAGTTTGTCCTGTCAGCTTGGGCTGATGTTGTCAGAACCTGATTGGACGTTATCTCTCTGCGGCAATGTGTTCTTTTACTCATCACAGAGACTGTCTCCTCCACCCAAGACTCTCTGGGCTGGGAACTCCAGATGGCTGCCCACATAGGGCTTCCCAGCTGATTTGGGCTGGATGGTCATACGTCTCCAGTTTGATGGTCTTGCCTCCTGTTTGCTCTCGGTGAGGCTGAGAGCGCATCTCTGCCAGATGTTTGGATAATGTCCTGCTGGCTACTGCCTCTCTCTATCGGTGGCCATTCTTTCACTTTTGCTTGCTACATACTTAATAAACTCATTTATAAGCCAAAGGCAGACTACGGTAGATCGTTCTCTGAGCCTACAGAACAGGAAGGAGGCCAGGCACTGCCCACCTCTCCCTGAGGTAGCTGGGGCTCAGCTTCTGTCCCAGGGCTGCCTTCCTGTTTGAGACCCATTTCAAGTCTTCCCATTGTGGCCCACAGCTGGTTCATTGGTGTTCTTCGGGGTTCTGCTCAAGACTTCCTCTTCTAGGAAACATCCCAGGACGATTTGTGTCGGGCTACCACACCATGCTGCTTTCCTCACTGAATTCCTTTGCCTTTTCATTTCCCAGAGTTGGCTAGAGATCCTGAGATTAGGAACAAGGCCTCGCTCTGATATACCACAGCATCTAGCTCTATACTGCAGACAGGGTGTGTGTGTGGAGAGGCCCCTGAATGACGCACTGGCAGGCTGTACCACTCACTGTGGCTTCTCCTCCTCTGGGACATCAATCTTACTGGGTCACTCTGGACATCTTCATAGGACCCCAAGTTCTCCAGTTCCCAATCCCAAGGGCAGGCCTGCAGGGACCCCCTCTCCACTCCTCCCGTGGCTCGGCCGGGACTGGGAACGCCTGACAACTCTTGCCCAGCCAGAGGCATGTCTAGAATTCCAAGACTCTCTCTGGAATGTGCAGCCTGTCTGGGGATGCTGAGGCTGGGGCACAGGTGCAGAGGCCTTTTGTACAGCAGCAGGGCGGAGCAAGGCCAGCTGCCGGCATTCTGGCTGGAGCCTGGCTGTCATGATCAGCTGTCTGTCCTGAAAGCATTGCTACCATCACCTCCATTTCCTTGCGAGCCCCCAACATCCTGCCCCCGTCACTGTTCTGGCTGCAGCTCTGACCTGGGCACCCCCACTAAGCTGGGGATATCTCCAGACCTCAGGCCTTCATTTCCTGTCAGGGAAAAAGATCAGACAGGTGACTGGAGGCCAATCTCAGAGGGCCCAAGGAGCTGGACGGTAGGTCTATTTGACCTAGTCTGTCAGAGTCCTTGGCTGGCGGCAAGGTGGCTAAGCCCTCTTGTAGATTTGCCAGGTGACCTTGGCTCTCTGGGCCATTGGGCCCTCATCTGTAAAATGGATGATAGAGTATGGAGTAAA